TGCCAGAGAACTGAGCAGCGATCATTTACTGCTGGTTCATAAACGGACACCATAGTCATTTTAGAAGGGGTTCTCTGAGACCAGAAAGTCATTTCAAGGGATCTTCTGTGTCGAAAAGGTTGATAAAGACTGGTGTAAAAGCTGGAAATCAGTAAACACCGTTGCTCCAGTGATCTCTATTAGCTTCTGAGTCCCCTGCCAAGCGGCAGTCTTGCTGCACTGTAGACACTGGACGGTTGCTGGGCCATTCACACAGTGCCTTTGCATTTTCTCAACGTCCACTCGACCTCCTGTGTTCACAATGCAGAAGGGCAGCCGGACGGCACTGGACTCAGGAACTAGTGGAAATAACTGGAGTAGCGGTGTCTAGTATAGTAATTTCCAGCTTCTAAAGGTATGGTATATGCATAGTTACATGTGGGCCAAGCTGGACCAAGGAGCAGTGAAAATCTGGGTACAATGGCCTCCAATGAGACTGCTAACCTGTAATGAAAAATCTTTCTTCAGGATTAGAACTTCACATATAGACCATGTTCTGGTCAACCCTTCCACCTTCACGTCGATATTCATGATTGTAATGAATGGATTCAATTCATTGCAGTCCGTATAATTCTGATTTATGGACTCTGGCATCTCCTGGCAGGCAGTGTGCCGTTTTCTAGGCCTCGGTAATGATGAGGCGCAGTACATGTATACTGGCTCAGTGACGGTAAGATATTATCAGATTCCTGTTTTGCTTTTTGTTCTGTTTACCTCATTGTGACGATGCTTTGTGTTTTCTAAAGACATTGACCCCTGTAAACCGTATTTTCTTTTTGTTGTGATATTGTGAATTTTTTTGTTTTAATAAATTCTGGTTATACTATTTGAACTTTTGGCTTATGCTGTCGTTTCTGTTCCTGCCCGTTTGGGCGCAATTTTCCAATCTGGGGGTTTTTTAACACAGCTTTTTTTTTTATATATTATGATTGTTTTTCCATTGCCAGGAATACAGTGTCAGATAGTTCTCAATGAGAGGCTTATAGCTGCTGGTCCCAACCTGACAAACTGAACCTCACGTTTGATCTTCCGCTAACACCAAACCCGCCACCTAACACTGTAATGTAACCTGGCCCTGAAGCTGAACTCCAAGAAAACAGCTTAAAGTGGTTGTAAAGGCTCAAGGTTTTCTATCTTCATTCATTCTATGCATAAAGGTAAAAAACCTTTTGTGTGCAGTAGACCCCCCCCCCCCCCCATTACCTTAGCCCCCTCTTGATTCAGCAATGTGCACTGGAGTCTCGGCTAGCCTTGGCCTCCTTTTCCTCAGAAGCGAGAACCATTGGCTTCCACTGCTGTCAGTCACAGCCAGTGAAAAGAAAGAGGGGGCGGGGACAAGCCACAGCTCCATGTGTGAATGGACACAAGGAGCAGCAGGTTCCCCCATAGCAAGCACACGACAGGAGGGAGGGGCCAGCAGGGGACCCGTGAAGAGGAGGATCCGGGCTGCTCTGTGAAAAACCACCACACACAGCAGGTAAGTATGGACATTTTTGTTATTTTTTCTAAAAAATAAGTCGTCAGAATCACTTTAATACACAGATGATGTATATATGGGAGCTGTTTTAGTAGTTAAAGAATTTGTTTTTCTTTCCATCCAGTCCCTCCCCCCTCTTGTAATTTTTCCCTCTTATTTCCTCTTTTTCTTTTTCCCTTCCCCTGTGAACGTGAGGACAAATCTGCCCAATGGAGATTTAGGCAGCAATCAAACTTGAGAGAGTTTATAACTCTTTTCTTATATAGACAAAAAGGTGCAGCGCTAATAATGAAAAGGTTAAATGTCAGCATACGCTCAATAATAAGACTAGAAAAAAAGAGGACATAAGATCGTAAGTTCGTCACAAATATAAGTTCGATGCTCAATGTAGTGTCCACAAACATGTAAAGGGATGTGATGTGCCAATTCTGCCAGGTCTCCTTTACAAATCAGGGTGAATGATCCAAATGTGAGCAGGAAATATATTAAATGCGCACTCACCAGAAGTGCGTTAAAAATACGCATGAAAGAAGTTTCCTCTCTTCAGGTACATCTAGGTTCTCCACACTCTCTGGTAAAGCTGCGCTCCCTAGTTCTCACTGGTCATCCATCCTGGTCAGGTTCCATGGTATATCAGGCACTCATACACCTCTGGAGTCCCTCCTTAAACTTGGTACTGTGAAAGGGTGGCGCTCATGAAGAGCCCAATAAGGGACATCACATAGCGTGATACTGCATAAAACACTTTATTCCAGAGGTAACACAAAATAAGATATGGTACTGACCGCAATCATAGAATAAGATGTCCAGGTGCTGTAGCCCTATGATTGCAGTCAGTACCATATCTTATTTTGTGTTACTTCTGGAATAAAGTGTTTTATGCAGTATCACGCTATGTGATGTCCCTTATTGGGCTCTTCATGAGCGCCACCCTTTCACAGTACCAAGTTTAAGGAGGGACTCCAGAGGTGTATGAGTGCCTGATGTACCATGGAACCTGACCAGGATGGATGACCAGTGAAAACTAGGGAGCGCAGCTTTACCAGAGAGTGTGGAGAACCTAGATGTACCTGAAGAGAGGAAACTTCTTTCATGCGTATTTTTAACGCACTTCTGGTGAGTGCGCATTTATATATATTTCCTGCTCACATTTTGATCATTCACCCTGATTTGTAAAGGAGACCTGGCAGAATTGGCACATCACATCCCTTTACATGTTTGTGGACACTAGATTGAGCATCGAACTTATATTTGTGACGAATTTACGATCTTATGTCCTCTTTTTTCTACTCTTATTATTGAGTGTATGCTGACATTTCACCTTTTCATTATTAGCGCTGCACCTTTTTGTCTATATATTATCTTGGAAGGTTATGTTGGTTATCTTTTTGGTGTTCTAGCGGCTTTTTACCATATCTTTACCACAGTAAGCGCTCGCTACACAACTTGTTTCTAGCTTTATAACTCTTTCTTACTTTATTAAAAAAAAAAAAAAAGAAAGAACCCTTTTATAACCAAAGGTATACTTCAACCTACAAGAGGTCACTATATAAACAGATGGAATATTTGTTTTTTGGATTCTGCCTTGCTAAGGTTTTAATATTACCATACCATAAGACACACTTTTTCCCTCCAAAAAAATGGGGGCAAATGTCTGTGCATCCTATGGAGTGGCGGGCCTGGTATTCCCCCCACCGACGTGTTAGAATACCGCACCAGCCGCTTGGTTCTTCAAGAACCTGCTCCTCGGTCCAGCAGTGTCCTCAACATCTCTCCCTGTTGCCGGAATCTTTTGTCTGGGCACCCAGCTGTGACAATTTGTGGCTTAACAGCCAGGTGCCCACTATGCATGCGCGAGAAGCGCTGTGCTTTGTGAATGGTCTGTGAATGGTCATCACCTGTACTGTGTCCCGCAGTCGTGTCTGGTCACCTCCTGTACCGTGTCTGCAGTCTCTGGTCATCTCCTGTACCGTGTCTGCAGTCTCTGGTCATCTCCTGTACCGTGTCTGCAGTCTCTGGTCATCTCCTGTACTGTGTCCATAGTCTCTGGTCATCTCCAGTACTGTGTCCGCAGTCTCTGGTCATCTCCTGTACTATCTGCAGTCCTGGTCATCTCCTGGTCATCTCCTGTACTGTGTCCGCAGTCTCTCTGGTCTTCTCCAGTACTGTGTATATAGTCTCTGGTCATCTCCAGTACTGTGTCCACAGTCTCTGGTCATCTCCAGTACTGTGTCCGCAGTCTCTGGTCATCTCCTGTACTATCTGCAGTCCCTGGTCATCTCCTGTACTGTGTCCGCAGTCTCTGGTCTTCTCCAGTACTGTGTATATAGTCTCTGGTCATCTCCAGTACTGTGTCCACAGTCTCTGGTCATCTCCTGTACTGTGTCCGCAGTCTCTGGTCATCTCCTGTACTGTGTCCGCAGTCTCTGGTCATCTCCTGTACTGCATCCGCAGTCTCTGGTCATCTCCTGTACTGCGTCCGCAGTCTCTGGTCATCTCCTGTACTGCGTCCGCAGTCTGTACTGGTCCGCATCTCCTGTACTGTGTCCGCAGTCTCTGGTCATCTCCTGTACTGTGTCCGCAGTCTCTGGTCATCTCCTGTACTGTGTCCGCAGTCTCTGGTCATCTCCTGTACTGTGTCTGCAGTCTCTGGTCATCTCCAGTACTGTGTATATAGCCTCTGGTCATCTCCAGTACTGTGTCCGCAGTCTCTGGTCATCTCCTGTACTGTGTCCGCAGTCTCTTGGTATCTCCTGTACTTTGTCCGCAGTCTCTGGTCTTCTCCTGTACTGTTTCTGCAGTCTCTGGTCATCTCCTGTACTCTGTCCGCAGTCTCTGGTCATCTCCTGCACTGTCTGCAGTCTCTGGTTGTCTCCTGCACTGTCTGCAGTCTCTAGTCATCTCCTGTACTGTGTCTGCAGTCTCTGGTCATCTCCTGTACTATGTCTGCAGTCTCTGGTCATCTCCTGTACTGTGTCCGCAGTCTCTGGTCTTCTCCTGTGCTATGTCTGCAGTCTCTGGTCATCTCCTGTACTATGTCTGCAGTCCATTGGTTTAGAATATTTTTTTTCTTGTTTTCCTCCTCTAAAACCTAGGTGCGTCTTATGGTCAGATGCGTCGCATGGAGCAAAAAATAAGGTATGTTGATGGTTCTATTGGAATTATATTGCTTTGATATGCTTAGAGGTCAGGTTATGATTAAGTTAACTCCAGCCCCGCCTCTCTTACATCAGGGGTGCTCAACCTCTTGAAGAGTGAGGGCCATATACAGTGCTCAGCATACATGAGTACACCCCTTTTGAAAAGTAAGATTTTAATCAAGAACAATTTCCAAAGTTGTTACAAAACTGAGTTTTACAGAACATTTGTTTAGCTCATTACATGACAGTAACGTTAATAATATAAATTATATTACAAAATCTTCAGTTTTACTCAAATTAGTTGATGCAAAAATGAATCCACCCCACAACAAAAACTACTCCATCTAGTATTTTGTAAGACCTCCACAATTTGTAAGGACAGCACCAAGTCTTCTAGGCATGGAATCAACAAGTTGGCGACATGCTGCAACATCGATCTTTTTCCATTCTTCAAGAACCACCTCTTTTAGAGCCTGGATGCTGGTTGGAGAGTGATGCTCAACTTGTCTCTTCAGAATTCCCCATTTTTCTTTGTACTCCTCGCCTTTGCATCGCCATACAGTTTTGAAGCCATCAGTTCCCAAAACATTTATCTTCTCATCACTCCAGAGTACACAGTCCCAGTAGTCTTCTTCCTTTTCATCATGGGCCCTGACAAATTTTAGGTGGGTTCTTCTGTGCATGGGCTTTAGGAGAGGTGTAATGGAACCGGACCCCAACTGCACTTGGGTATTTCCATTAGACTTCCGCTTCCCCGTCCGAACAACGACCACAGACACCATTCTTGCAGTAGAACCAGGAAATAGACTGCTTTATTTTAACACGGATACAAGGGAACAACCCTCCCTCCCTGCATAATGACACAGGGCGGGGCAATCTACCTTTATTAACAAGAGACACACCAGCAGACAGTCCCATCAGGAGGGAGGGCTGCCGGAAACACCCCCCCCACCAAGCCAGTACACAAACACATACACAAACACTAACAGGCACAGGGTGACTTACACAAGAGGGATATGGGGAGCTGAGATAGGGGTCTCCCCACCTCTCCAAAGTGAGCTGTGTTCAATTGGACCCCCACCCAAAGTGACTCCTGCCACAACAGGCTTCCTTTGTGAACAACACCCATACATGCCATTCCTCTGCAGTGTACGCCGTATTGTGTCACGGGAAACAATCACCCCAGTATGGCTTTCTACTTCTTTATCTAACTGCAGTGAACTTGCATGGTGATTTTCTTCAACCCTTCTCATCAGAAGATGCTCCTGTCGAGGTGTTAACTTCCGTGGATGGCCTGGACGTCTTTGTGAGATGGTTGCAGTTCCATCTTTGTTAACCACTTGCCCCTCAGAAAGTTTACATGGGGTGGGGTTGCCATTGTGACCCCTGACGTTACACCAGTAGTTGGGGATGGGGGGAATGTTGTAAAAACACGTCTCGACTATGGCATTTTGCCGCCTCCCAAACTGCAAATGTAAACCAGCTGTTACTGTCCTGACTCCCCTGTAAGGCAGCCTTCACGATGACGGCCTGCGATTTACATCTCGGGTTAGCTGTGCTTTGCTGTAGACTACTACTATATCTTGCGGGTGTGGTGCACTTTCTAAAAGCACATCAAAACTCCTGCTTTAAGGCGCCTTCGGAAAGTGCCCTAAACTCACAGGATAAAATGTTCGCTGACCCCCGGGCATGCTCTTCCCTGGTTTGAGGTTAAGGACCACAGGTTGAGCACCTCTGACTTACACTTATAGCTGTCATACTAGATTCATAACAGAAGCTTTGTAAGTCATCTGGTCTGTCCTCTGCTGTGTGCCTCAGAAAGTCTGTGGTTTTGGATGACCACCACTCTTCTGGGGTCTGTGACATCCAGTGTCACTCAAATGTTTCCAAGGCTTCAAGGAAACAACTGGCATCCTTCTGAACTGCAAGTAATGTCATCACCACCCCGCCTGAGTACACTGTAGGCGTTACTGTTAGCTGTATACGAATCTACTCTACCCACCCAGTAATACTGCAACTTTAAAGAAGCTGCAATGCTTACTGGGGCATGTAGTCATAACTTTAGTCCACTCACAGACAAGTACTGTGTAGAACAGGGGTCTCCAATCTTTTCTAGCAAAGGACCAGTTTACTTCACACTTTAGGGGGCCAGATTGTGTCCAGTGGAGGTATTAAATGTCCCAGGCCAAGCAACACTATGATCAAACATGGCCTCAGGGTTTGTGGTCAGTAGGATGAGCAGTAGTGCCTCACCATTGGTATGAGTAGAATGAATAAATAAATAGTGCCCCACCATTGATATGAGTAGGAGAAATACTACCCCATCCTTTCTATCACTGGAAGAAATAGTGCCCCATTGTTGGTGTCAGTGGGAGGAACAGTGTCCCATCATTGATACTAGAGGGAGGAACAGTGCCCCATCATTGATACTAGAGGAAGGAACAGTGCCCCATCATTGATACTAGAGGGAGGAACAGTGCCCCATCATTGATGCTAGAGGGAGAACAGTGCCCCGTCATTGACACTAGTGGGAGGAACAGTGCCTCATCATTGATACTAGTGGGAGGAACAGTGCCCCGTCATTGACACTAGTGATGGAGGAACAGTGCCCCCCATCATTGACACTAGTGGGGGAGGAACAGTGCCCCATCATTGATGCTAGAGGGAGAACAGTGCCCCGTCATTGACACTAGTGGGAGGAACAGTGCCTCATCATTGATACTAGTGGAAGGAATATGGCCCCAAGACCATACTTGGGCAATGATGCCACCACTATCCCCGTCCCTTCCTTCTATATAGCCAATGACAGCTCAGGGAGCTGTCATTCTACTAGTGTTACTGTCAGGGAACAGTCTGTGCAGTGGGTCTTTTTTTTTTTTCTGGTCAAGACAGAGGCGGCGGGCATCATGATTGATAATGAATTTACAAGGGTCTGTGTTTTGGGGGGATTTTTATTTTATTTAAGAAAAGGCTTCTCAAATGTGTTCCCCCCCCCCCCCCCCCCCCCCCCCTAGGGTTTTCGACAGTTTTTGCCTATTAGCACAGAAATTGGGCATTTTAACCTCCTGACCTCCAGAAGGTTTTACCCCAAGGGTGCTCAACCTTCTAAAGAGTGAGGGCCACTTAAGTGATTTGCTAATAGTCGTGGGACAAAATGAACTATGTCGTTTTATCCCCCCCCCAAACTGCAAATGTTACCAAGCCCTTACTTTCCTGATCCTCCTATAAGGCTGCCTTTACACTGATGTGCTTTGGCTGCACTGAGCCATAGACTTCTATTATATCTTGCAGGTATAGTGCACTTTCCTGAAAGCACATAAAACTCCTCTATTCAGGAGTTTTGATACGCTTTCAGAATGTGCACCAAACTCGCAGGATATAATAGAAGTCTATTGCTCAGTGCAGCTTAACCTCCCTGGCGGTATTCCCGAGTGTAGCTCGGGGTAAAGTTTCAGTACCACAAGCGGTAACCCCGAGCTACACTCGGGAATACCATGCGGCGCTGCTCCACGATCCCTGTATCACTTACCTTGTCCTGCGCTCCCACGATGTCCCTCCTGCAGTGTCCCCGACAATGTAATCCGGCGGATGCCGACATCGGTCATCTGGGTTCCGTCCCCTGTGAGCGTCGGGACGTACGGGGGACGGAACGGCGGGAAATTCAAAAATGACAAAAAGTGACATTCACTAAAATCACATAGTATTCCATTACTGTATCAAACCATTTCACATACATTTTGTCCCGAGTGCTTTGTCCTGTGCCCTGCCTGCATTTTTACTGTTCTTATTGCCTGGAAACTGAGAAACGTCCATGGTGTCCAAAAAGCGTCCCTTTAGGTCAAAAGCGGTTTTAGACCGGCTAGAGAACAGAGATAGTAAATCAGAACCACTTGCAGAATTGAGTGATAATGATTTGCGGGGAAATTCGTCATCAAACAGTGAAAACGATTTTGCGACTTTGCTCAGTGATGTGCGAACTTGGCGCTATATTTCAAATTTCAGTGTTTTTGGTTTGATTATATTATTAAATTAAATTTATTATTATTATATTATTATTTTTATGATTATTTATTAAATTATAATTTATGATTTACGTGTTTCAAATTTTATCATCCCCGGGATGTTTACTAGACTCTTGTTCGGACAGATTTCAGTGAGTTATTCCTAAAAATTACAGCCCTACAATAAAAAAAAAAAACACATTTCCATGCAAAAAAATGGTACCGCTTTCAGCACCAAAAATCTGAAATAATCATACCGCCAGGGAGGTTAATGTGCAATGCCCATTGCAAAAGTGCAGTGTATGGGATGTTTAACCACTTGCCCTCCAAAGGATCCCCCCCCCCTTCCTGACCAGGCCTTTTATTACAATACAGCATTACTTTAACTGACAATTGCACGGTCATGCAACACTGCACCCAAATGAAATGTACGCCTTGTTTTTCCCCACAAATAGAGCTTTCTTTCAGTGGTATTTGATCGCCTCTGCGGTTTTTATTTTTTGCGTTCTAAACAAAAAAAGACCACAAATTTTGAGGAAAAAACAATATTTTTTACTTTTTGTTATTAAACATATCTAGTAAAAAAAAATTAAAAAAATCTAATTTTGTCATAAATTTAGGCCAAAATGTATTCTGTTACATGTCTTTGCTAAAAAAAAAAAAAAAAAAAAAAACCCAATACATGTAAATGAATTGGTTTACGTGAAAGTTATAGCGTCTACAAATACTATACTGGAATTTTATTTTTTTTATACCAGTAATGGTGGCGATCATTGACTTGTAGCGAGACTGCGGCGGGCATTCTGACCTGGGGGGAACGGCCATCCCCAGTGACACTAATACAGTGATCAGTGCTAATAAAAAAGCGCTGACACTACTAATGACACTGTGCAGGAAGGGGTTAACATCTGGGGTGATCAAAGGGTTAACTGCTGTTTTACTGTGTGCTGTTTTGCTGTGTCTGTGTTTTACTGTTTAAGCACGCTGCTTTGTGTGGCTCTGCTATGCAGAGCCATACAAAGCAGCGTGCTGAAGCTTACAGGGGAGAGATCTTCATTATTTATATACAGCTCTCTCCCCCCGTTTATACTCTGTAATCACGGGGAATCAGCGGCCGGGACCCAGTGATTGACAGCTGAAGCCGCCAATGGCGGCGCGGATAGGGCAGGCGCGCACCCACTACCCTGAAATACAAAATCACATATATATATATATATATATATATATATATATATATATATATATATATATGTGATTTTTCACAGCCCTCCTGCCCTGTAGCAGTAGTTCTGCTATAGTGTGGTTGGGAAGCGGTTAATACACTGACCTTTTTCTCTTCCAGCTTCTGCTGGCATTGTTCTCCATCTCCAGGCTGCTAGAAAGGTTCCAGGCGAAGTGCACTTGGTATCACTCCACATGCGATAAGAGCCGACCCTAGAGGAAGCATTGGCTTATGTGGCTCCTACTCCCTCCACAGCCCCTGCTTCTTCCTCTGCCGGCTCCATGCACTCTGTTACTCTGGGATGGTGGGTCAGCAACCTGTTGATCATGATCTCAGCTTGCCAACCTGCCACCCCAGAGCGTGGGCATGTGCTTCCCGTGTTTAAGGTCGCGGGTCATATGAGAGGGCTCCGCAGGCCATAGGTTGA